TTCGTGGGTAAGAACCTCACTTCTTCAGATGCAAGTCTTGCATCTGAAGAAGTGAGGTTCTTACCCACGAAAGCTTATGCTCCCAATACTTCTGTTAGTCTTAAAGGCGCCACAGGATCCTCTGTTGCTTTTTACAGATTCAGACTAACACAGCTACCCCTCTGGTTTTTGTAAGTCATTCCTTACCCATCCTCTTGGAAAGGATTAGTAAAATAATGGCTAATGGATACTGTTATGTCTTTAATCATGAGAGTTTATCATTATATTAATAAACACACTGGAAGAGATATATAGCCACTTTGTACCAGTTGAGCCAGTGTAAAGTTACCTAATGTGGGCACCCCTTGGTGTAGGGCAGGCACAGAACTCTGCCTTCTCTCCCACATTCCTGCAGTAGCTTCCAATATGTTCCAGAGTATTTCTATACCTTGATATTCCCTGTTGTCCCAGTGCTTAAAGAGCTCTGGCAGCAGCGATATCAGTTAAAGCAGCCTTCAATTTGCTCTAACCTGTCCTGGGGAAGCTAGCCCTGGCATAAGTTCTTTCTGTCAGTGCATGGGTGCAGGGATGAATTCCCCTTCTCATCACCCCTGCCAGTGATGGTAGCAGAGTATATCCTTTATCACAAATGTGTTGCAACGCATTTGTGGTAAAGGATATACTCTGCTACCATCACTGGAAGAACTGCTACTCCCGAGACAGCAAAATATGCTGGGGATAACAAAGCCGCAATACCATCTAGTGAAGGGAACTGTAGCATCACATTTTAGAAGTATAAAAAGCTAGCTGAACATTCAAGACCCACCAGAGATGAAATTGAGATTTTCACCCTGCACTGTGAGGCTATTCAAGAAACTTGGTAACCACAGTTTGAGACCTAAAATCCCTTCAAACTGGTTAAGAGATAGGAAGCAAAAGGCAATGATGACCAAATATTAATGTCATTTATTAATTAAATTGTTGTGATTAATGTATTACATTAATTGTAATTAATGTAAAATTAACGGGTTTGAATTCAATAGTGGCCAAAGAGTAAGTGTCCAGTTCTCACTAAAGTCAATGGGAGGCGAGAGCACTCAACACCTGGTAGGATCAAGGTCCATATGCTCTCTTTTGGAGTGCATACTTGGGATTTATTTTTTTTAAAGTTTCAGAAATGACAGCAAACAAACAAAATCAGTTATTCACCCAGCTCTAATAGAAATTTCTATGTTCCTAAATTTGTTTTGGCACTCTAATCCCAGAACTTGAAGCAGCATGAGACAGAAGTAACAAATACAACCGGAGAAACTGAAGAAATTGCTGTTGAAGTAATCCATAATTCATATGCTAAAGATGGCAGTTTTATATCTAGAAGTAAGCTTTGAAGAAACTCCTGCATAACTTATATCTCATGTAAAAAAGGGCAGAAGTCAGGCTAACAGCAATTTGAATTAACAAGGCAAAATAACTAATTGTGTAGAGAAGGGCTGGGTTCTGATAACCTTGTCGCTTTAGCACTGAGTGCTGCCCTACTCAACATCAATTATAATCCCTTTCTAAAACAAACACTGGAGAAAGATGAAAGCTCTATCTGTAAAGGTTTGGAAAATAACAATGCAGGCCCAGAGACACAGATATTATTATAAAAGAGGCCTTATACAGTGGGAATAATATAAACAAAAGAGATTAAGTGTTTACAATGGTTCTTTGAGGGAAAACAATGATCCTCCTGTTGGCACTACATGAAAATGATTTTAATCACTCTAATGGGGGAGATGGATACTTTGTGAAAGAAAAATTCCATAAATGTACTTTTAGAAGGTAAATTGTTCTCCCTCGCTTTCTTTCCTGAGTAGAAAGACTCTGTTTAAATATTTGATGGGGGGAAAGGAACAATTTATGCAATGTAGTATGGAGATTTCAAACAATTTCATGTTGTTGAAAGAAGGGGGAAGAATAGAAACATGCTAAAGCAGAACTACTTTTTTAAAAATAAAACTGAGGGTAAAATACAGAGAGCAAGTTCTTCTAAATCTTTGAACCATTAAAGTGAATTTTTTTAAAGTAATTTCATGCAAAAATATTTTCTCCCAGAATTCAGATAATTGGCTTCATGTGTAAATGCTCAATGGTGTCTAGGTCTTTGCTTTTCTGTCTGAAATCTGACAAAGTAGAAAAGGGTTCATGTTGTGACTCACCACACCACACAAGAGTCAGGTGTTTGCCAATGGTAACCCTTTTCCACAAGGAGTGAATGAAAGTGAGAAATGAAAGTATGGAAGATCGGATTGACCATCTTCAGGACCTGACCTTCCCTTTCCTATGGATTCACAGGAGAGGATCAGGCCCTAAAATGAGGTAGATTCATGTGTTTCTTTTAGGAGATGGCTACACTTGCAGATGTAGAGTGCTGTGAGTTAAAACCACCTTTGGAGAGCGCAGTAAGGAAAGCGCTGCAATCTGTCCACACTGACGGCTGCAAGCGCATTGTCATGGCCACATTTGTGGCACTTGCAGTGGCATTGGGAGTGGTGCATTATGGGCAGCTATCCCACAGAGCACCTCTTCCCATTCCAGCACTGTGGCTTTTGGGAAGGGGGCGGGGCATGCAGGGCATTCTGGGACGTGTCCCAATGCCCCGTAATGCAGCGGTTCGCATCCCAGCAATCCCTGTGCTTCCGTCCACATTTGGCGCCATCTTTCAACGTTTTTTGTGCCGCACGCTCTGTCTTCCCTTTCGGTCTGCAGGAACAGAGCCCAGACTGCTGAGGAGTATGCTGACAAGTCTCTCCAGCCTGTCACGTTTGGCAGTCAAGTTACTTCTTAAGATCCAAACTGACAGTGAGGACTCCGACAATGATATTGACTTGAGTAACACATACAACACAAGATTGCTTGTGGCATTCACGGACATGCTCACCACCATGGAATGCTGCTTTTGGGCTCAGGAAACAAGCACTGAGTGGTGGGATCACATCACACAGAGAGCCTTGAGAGCAGCAAGGAGCAGTTCAACAGGCTGAGCCGGTGCAGAATGACTATGGAGTGTGCTTTTGGCCATTTAAAGGGCCGCTGTCGCTCTCTGTATGGGAAGCTGGACCGGGCCGATGACGGCATCCCTGCGGTTATATCCACGTGCTGTGCCCTCC